CAATGAAAACTAGAAAAGCGAGTATCTTCCTCCAGTCCTCTGCGAGAAGAGGATAGCGCAATATGTTTTTTAATCGTCTAGCAGAATCGGGAACAACTCGGAGATCTCGGTGACCGAGGTACACAGCCCCATGTGTGCACTGCTGTGCTCTCAGCTCAGACCAGACCCGCCTTTCTCAGGCCGAGATCCCCCGCGGCCCTGAGTTACCTAAGACACTGTAAAAGAAAATAAAACCCGCTCTCTCACCCCAGACCTACTGAACGGAATCTTTAGGGCTGAGGTCTCAGAACATGCCTATACAATAAGACACCCTGGTTACTCTTACGTATAAGGAACATCTAGAAATACTGACCCACACTCTGTCTCACCTCCTTGCCTTTGCTTACGCTGTTTCCTTGGCTTGGAGACGTCTTTCCTCTTCTACAGGATCCTTAACACATTTTTTGAGAGCTGCCTCTTCCTGAAAGCCTTTCCAGATTCTCCCAAATTGAAGTTAATATTGTATCTTCATTATTGCGGTTAACACAGTCTCCCTTCTAGAGTTTTACTAGAAAACAGTTTCACCAAACGGTAAGCAGCCAGTGGGCAGTGATTGCCGGCTATGCTAATAACCATCCCTGGTGCCCAGCAAAATGCTTTGTGTCTAATGGGCACTAAAAGAGCATCTGTTGAATTTGGATCGATTCTCTACTTACTTTTTCCCAGTAAACCATTCTGTTCTGACATCCTCCCAAGAGCACAGATTCCTTCAGAGTATGTATTATTAAGGTCAGGGTGGTAAAGGATGGTCTTAATAAACACGATCAGCCTTAGTTCCCAGCCCATCAGAATAGGGGCGTGTGTGTGTGTGTGTATGTTGTGATGAGTTGGTTGAGATCCCTGTGTCTTCCTCATTTTAATCTTAGATATCACTTATAAGGCATGCTAGCCAAATCCGCCAAAGTCCCAGTTAAATCTGCAGCCATTAAAAAAAAATGGCATAGTTGTATCCTGGGTTGGTTGTCCTTTCAGGAAACAGATTTGATCATTTCACTAAAGCAGCAGCTTTCACCATCCACCGTCATGCTTGTCCCCTGGGACCCTTAGGTCAAGTACATTCAGCACTTGTTTCCAATGATGTCATAGAAATACTTCCCACAGTCATATGAGGAGTGAAGGTGTGGAGATGAACTCCACTTTCTAGTAAGATGGTCTCTTCAAAGCTTCATGGTCCCTGTCAGTGACATTTTAGGCACTTTTCTGGTTCTGTGTGACTGTTAATCCTATGCTAGGCTTCTCCATCGGCTGGTTTGCTGGGTAGGGCGTTGCCCAGACCATCGGCAGGAGAAAGTACGTGTGGGAGCTCTCCAGCTCTCTCCAACTCTACTGCAGGGTGATATCGGAGGATGGTCTGATCAGTGGGGAGTGGGGAGGGATGTACTAACTTAGAGTGAGAGCCCATTAAAGAGTTTCTCCAGTTATTACATCACTGATCCCTAAATTATCTTGATTATTTGACCTCACACCAGGCAGCAAGGTGAAGCTGAGAAAATCTTTGGATGTGGCCAGCGAAATCAGATTTTTATCGGCTCGGTTAGGGTTTATGAAAGTAACAGCGTTCATGAAAGTATGGTGGACCCGACAACTGTCCTGGACAGGGGACTCCTTTTTAAATGTGGGGAGCCTCGTCTTCTCCCTATTTCTGTCTCAACTTCTAATGTTAATGCAATAGGAAGAACTCCAGATGACCACAGTCACCTAGTAATCCCACAGAATACATAACAAGGAGATCTGAAATCCTAATGTCAGGCGGAGGAAGACCCCACCCTTTCCCTGACCCTTCCAGTACATGCAGGGCTCTAAAGTGACCAGAGGCAGTGAGAAAAGGTCCCTGCATATGGTGTGAGGAGCTGGCTGACCTTTAGAGTAAATGTAATGGAAATTCATGGGAAGGGGGTAGGATAATTACGTTGAAATGGGTCTGGCAGAAAGGAGATAGTACAAATTAATTGATCTTTGAGCAGTTTGCTTGGGGAAAAAAAAAGAAATTGGTAATTATATCAGCTGGATAAAGTTTGTGTTTATGGGGGGGAAGAAATTACAGTTCCAGCACCCCCAAGGACTCCCCTTGTGCTGGCCCCTTGCGGTGGGATCTTCCCTCCACCCCTGGCTCCTGGCAACCACCCTTACAGTGTCCTTCTTTTTCATACACATCATTCATGCAGTATGTAGAAGACTGGCCTCCTTTGCTTGGCATAATGCCTGCTTGATACAAGTTTTCCACATTCTTTAAAGTGCGAAGAACCCCTTCTTTCCAGAACAAAGCGAATGGGCACCTGAGAAGATGGGTGTGAGAAGCTGAGTTAGGGACCCACGGAAATGTAAACAGACATGCAGCGCCCCTGGGTGAGCATGCTAGCGCCGAATGCCTGGCAGATGGGATGGGGAGGCGGGCAGGGGCGACCTTGCCTGGTTAAACGTTTTCTTTTCTCAAACTAACCTCGCTTCCTGCTCTGACCTTTCCCACTTCCCAGGGAGTTGGGGGTGGCAGAAAGACACACACACAACTTACACACCCATAAATACATGTGCCTCCATTTTCATGGCTTGAGTGCTTCATTTACAAAGAGGCCATCAACCTGTCAGATTCAACTTCAGATTTTGTTGAGGGCTATCTGGTGCTGTGTATGATACCAGGACTTGTAATCTAGAGCTGTACACTTGTTTCTCAAGCTAAGATTTATTTTGCAAAATATTTCATTCTAAATTTGTGTTTTCCTTCAAAATAATAGAAATTTAAACATTAGAAATTATAGAAGGTAAAAAATTTAACTTTTGGTATCTAGAATTGGGATTTTTAGATGTAATTTATTAGTAATCATCTCTGTATGTAGTTTTTCATAGTGTTTTTGGTAGTGTTCATTTATTTTACAAAGTTATATGTAATTTTAAAATTATAATTTATATAATTATAAAATTTATATAATATAAAACACTAATCTCATATTCACTGACTCCTCTGTACACTTTTTCATTAGGAATTAACTGCATTTTAATTTTTGTTTTTGTTTTTTTTTTTTTCCTATAGTTGTGATATTCAAAGCATAGATGATTGCTATTTCCCCAGAAAAGCAGGCAGACTTTCTTAGGACATTTATCACATTCATTAACTGTTACTTAGAACTAACTACTTTTTCCTCATGATGGTTAATGTATTCATGACCTCATACGTGTTGACCACATATTCTGCTGCTGATGTAATTTATATGGAGGTATATGGAGATGTTTGCATATACTAAAGGCCTAAAAGGACAGTAAAGAAGTTACTCTTGGTGCTAGCACTGTGGTTATTATATAATCTAAGCTATTATTGTTCTGCCATAAATAGAATTATTTTACTGTATCTTCTCACTTGTCCAGAAAGATGTTATTTGATGCTTTTCATGTATCCAGAAGTTAGAACATAAGCTTGGAAGCCCTCAGAGTGCTCAAAAATCTGTTAAAAGTAAACCCAATAAACCTTATGCCTACTGTGTGGTAGGTGTTCGTATATATTGCTTTATTTAATCTCCACAATCATCGTACATAGCAGTCATTCTTGCCACGTCCACAGAGGACATTGAACATCTGAGGTCACAGAACTTGTCCAAGGTTGTATGTCAGTAGCTGGGGTTTCAACTTGGGTGCATGTGTCCCTCAAGATCCTGATTCTGAGCCCGTTAATTCCCACATCAGTCATTCACACAAATATTTTTTCAATATTCACTATATGACAGGCCCCTGGGTATCCAGGATTAAAGATAGATTTATCAAATTCTAAGGAATTCCTTTATCTGTTTTTTGGACTGCAGTAAATATGAAACAGAGTAGAAAAGAGATGAGGCTGCAGGACAGAGACACTCTCTATCTTATCTACTGTTGGATTCACAGGCCGAGCACAGCGCATAGTAAGAGTTTATCAATAAATACATTCATATGGATCAATGACAAGAAATACCCAACTGGGCTTTCCCAGTAAAGAATTTGTCTGTCAGTTCAGGAGACATAAGAGACACAAGTTCTATCCCTGGGTTGGGAAGATTACCTGGAGAAGGGCATAGCAACGCTCTCTAGTATTCTTGCCTAGAGAAACCCATGGACAGAGGAGCCTGGCGAGCTGCAGTCCATGGGGTTGTAAAGCGTCGGACACGACTGAAGGAATTTCGCAAGCATGCATGCAGTAGCCGACTAGGAGAGAGAATTAAATGTGGAAAGGATTTGAACTCAAGCAGCAGAACTGTCCTGGACTGCTCAGTGTATGAATAAGCAGTTGTGTATCTCGCTAGACCCATGGGGTAGGAAGAGTCTTCAGCGTGCTCACTGATGCCGGAATGATGACCTTGGGCCACCTAGTGACTGAGGAGACCCAGGCTCTGTACCACGGAAGGAGAGGCACTCATGAATGTGGCATCCTGTTTAAAAAGCAAGGAAGTCTGCAAAACATTTTAGAAGTTTCCATAAAAAATGGCATTTGTTCCCCTTAAAATAGGCCAAAGGGCTAAACTTCTGTGTCTTAGAAAAATCACATAGGTGGAGAAATTGTTTCCCTAACGCTCTTGGATAAAGAGGTATTACACAATACAGTTTTTCTTTTTCCTGGTAAATTGTAGCATTAAATTTTCATGCCAAATGAAACTTTGAAGAACTCAAGTTAATATTCTTTGGAAGATACCTTGTGTCTTCCAAAGGACTGTTATCTATTTAGGACTCTATCTCATGCATAGCACGTAACAATCTATTGGATGTAACAAGTGAATAGGCTGCCTAGAATGACAAAGCAAAGTTTTTTGAGTCATATAACTTGAAAGAATCATGATGCATTGAAGTCATGTTTGAAGTATCATTTAGCTTTTTGTAAGGGAAAAAAAATGGGGACATTAGGGAACTACTGATATGATTTCAATTTCATTATTCAGCAGCATCGATGCGCTACTTTCTTGTCCCGAGAATGTATCTATTAACAGTGATGTTTTGCCTTACAGCTTTTCTGGGAGAAGAGGCTACAAGGACTTAGTGCATCAGATGTAACAGAACAAATTATAAAAACCATGGAACTCCCTAAAGGTCTTCAAGGTATTCTCCGAGTTCAGTTCAGCAGCCCCTGCTGTGTGCCAGGCTGTGTGTCGGAGGCAGTGGAGGCAGACGTGATGAGGGCCACAGGTCTTTGCTGTGGGGACTGTTTGCCTCGCTGGGTGATGCTCCCCTTGGGTTTTAGTAAACCCAGAGGCAGTGTGCCTGAAACGCTTTGTAGGTTGCAGAACGCTTCCAGGCGGTGTCTTACCTAAGTTTCTTTTTTGCGTGTACCTTTTGGCCTGACTTTAATTAGGCTCGTCATGTAAATTAATCCATGTTATGTGTTCAGACCCAAATGCAGCCTAAGCGGCAGACTGTCCCCAGCTTCCTGCTCGAAGCAACATCGGGCCCCAGTGCTTGCTTTTTTCTCCCTTCCTCTTATCCAAAGAACAGCATCTCTCCTCCTGCCTCTCCCTCCGTGACCTGCTGCTGCAAGCCTCAGATGCCCATGGGTCCAGTAACAGGAGCGAGCAGGGTCTGGGGGGAGAGCTCAGCTGCTGGCGTGCCTTGTGTGGGTCACACCTTCACTCCAGGTTCTAGAGAAGCATTAGTTTTCGAGTGGTTACAGCTTTGGGCTTCTAAATCTTGATAAATTGCGGACTGCTCAAAAATCCTCATAATTCATGGTTAGAGTAGTGTCTCATCCCTCTGTGCTCTTGGAAATTATTGCTTTAACTGGTTTAACAAGTTTAGGACTGTAAGAAAGGCACTTAAAGGTAGCCATGGTTCCAGTCTCCTAATGTGCAGTCAGTGTGTACAGTTATTAGTCTTACTCATGTGGATATTTTGTTAGTTGAAAAAGCTGTTAAAGGTGTAGGTACAGCCTACTTGCATTGGCTTTTCCTTTGAAGTCCCTGCACAAAAAAGAAGTGTTGAGACACGGCAAGCTACAGGGGAAACAATTCAAGGACCCTAGGGACACGTTAATAGGGATATTTGAATGTAAGATGACTTTAGAAGGGACTTAGATCATTAAGAATAATTGACCTTGCATGATGAAATGTAGCCAACTTTTTAAGAAGTTTTTAATACCTTGGACATGTATTTTAAAGTTCTGTTAAAGTTTTGTTAAAATACTCAAGTATTTGGTTAGTTTCCTTAATGTTAATTCTTCATTGTTGATAACTAAGTAAATATGCTGTTACCTTTTGCTGCTTTGGCTTGTGTCAGTTTTAAAAAGCTGCTGTCAGATGAATATAAAGATAATCAGTTGTTTTAGGCTCCACAAGGTTTGCTCAGCATGGCTAGAAACATCCTGGAACTGATGTGTTTCTAATTGCAGGGGTTGGTCCGGGTAGTAATGATGAGACCCTGTTATCTGCTGTCGCCAGTGCTTTGCACACAAGCTCTGCACCCATCACAGGGCAAGTCTCCGCTGCTGTGGAAAAGAACCCTGCTGTCTGGCTTAACACATCTCAACCCCTCTGCAAGGCTTTCATTGTCACAGATGAAGACATTAGGTGAGAGCGGAACATGACTTCAAAAAACTTGTCTTCTACACTTGATATGTTTTTTATTGCTTGTTAGGTTCAGTGACATGTCCTAGTAAGTGATGAGCCTTCTTTACAAAACCATTTTAAAACAGATGATATAGGATGTTTAAAACAAATGCATGCTTGAAAAAGGTGGCATTGTATAAGGTGTATCATCCTGATTATCCCCGAAAGACAGAGCAGTCGTACTCTCTCCACCTGGTTTTGGCGGTATCTTCTGCAGTCTGGGGTTCTGCCTTTCTGCTCTGAGGAGTCCCTGCATACAGTTATGCCTGTTCTGATTGCTCCCTGCATTGGTTTGTCTGCAGTAGCAGATCATTGCTATGCTGCTTTGAGTTCAGTTGTGTTTTCAAAATTCAGTTTACTTATCTTGATTTTATTGATCTCATGTAAACTCAATTTAGAGATTTATTTATCTCTACTTAACTTTGTTTCAAGTAAAGGTTTAAGGTGGCTCTGAAGACACACACACACTCACACAGTGAGACACACATGTACATACATTGAGTGAAGCCAGATGAGAAGCAAATGAGAAGAAAGACAAAGCAAAAGGTAAAGCTATCACGTAAAATGGAGCTGAGAGCGAGAAGCGGACACAAGCTGCATCCATTAACATCTTTCACTCTTTCTAAGGCTGGGCCACAAATTAGGTTTATAGCGGCAGATTATGAAAGGAAAATGTATCGCTCAGCTAGATAATGCCCAAGGAGTATAAGCAAGCCATTGCTCAGGAGAAACAAAACTATTCCAGATACTAAAACCACAAAGAAATTCTTATATGGGATTTATGGATTTCAGTATTATTCTTTAGAATGATTGTATTGTGGTGGTGGTTTAGTCGCTAAGGTGTGTCCAACTTTTGTGACCCCATGGACTGTATCTGGCCAGGCTCCTCTGTCCATGGATTCTCCTGGCAAGAATACTAGAATGGGTTACCATGTCCTTCTCCAGGGGATCTTCCCAACCCAGGGATCGAACCCGTGTCCCCTACACCTGCAGGCTGTCTCCTGCATTGCAAGTGGATTCTTTACCACTGAGCCACCAGGGATGCCCTATGTGTGCTATACTGTGTTTTCTTTAAGAAGAGGACAGGGTGTATACTTCATTATTTCTGTCCTCTTGAGTGTGAACCCCAAAGCTTTACTGTTCCTAGACCAAGCCAGCAGATGGCACTTTTGAATTTAAAAAAAAAAGTATTATATTTGTTTTTCTAGTTCCTTGAAAGTTGGTATGAGACTGTTGTTAAATGCCTGCATCTATCTAGCCAGGTTTATAATTGGAAAGCCGTTCCCGGGTTTTAAAGCAGTTCCTTTTGCAAAGATGTGAAATGGTTCGAAGTTGTATTCAGATGATTGATGATGTAGAATTTATGATCAGTGTTACTATATATGTATTTTTTTTTTTTTTAAGAAAAACAAAGTGTGAAATCAAGGAAAGGAATCAACTTGCTCTTTGGACTGTTTCTACCCTTGAGGAAGGAAATCACTCCGGAGGCTAGCTCCCCTCTGTCCTGGAATGGGCACCCAATTCATCAGCCCGGGTCCTGCCAGGCCCCTGTGGGTGTTGACTGAGGTCCTCTGACTGATGACAGGGGCCCGTGGGGACATCTTGGGGCTGTGTTAGAATCCTGCCTACCACATCCGGCGGAGGCTTTACTTTCGGTTTTCATAAATGTGGGAAGCCTCGCCAGTGTCAGATTTTCAGATATACTTCTCCAGCCAAAGCCAGATCTGGATGCTTTTCTTTTAGGGTAAACTCGTCTGACAGATTTTCCATTTGATTTCTTTGTCTTGTCCATTTGATTGCATTGTCATAACAGAAATCATCAAGCCAAACATTTCTTCTCCGATTAGTACATATTCAAAATAAATGATTGCAAATGGGATTATCACCTTTTCTCCTGTTGTGTCGCCAATAATCTGTTTGTGTTAAACCTTCAACTGAGGATCTCAACATTGAGCACTTTTTTTTTCCAGCCAGCTTGATAACTATTTTCATTCATGGGTGTATTTGTTTTCTGATACCTAGTGATAAGTTCTCACAGACCTCGCTGTTTAAAGCAATAGCTGTTCGTAGCTCTTGTTTTTGTAGGTCGGAAGTCTGGGCTGGCATGACTGGATTCCCTGCCCCAAGCCTTACACAGTGGAAATCTGAGTGTCTGTAGAAGTGCGTGGCCTGTGGAGCCTGGGCTCCTCCTAAGCTTGTGGCAGAGTTCGTGTCTTTCTAGCTGCAGGGATGAAGCCCCTCTTCCGGTGTCGGCTGTGGGATCGGCTGTTCTCAGTGGTGGTTTCAAGCTGCTGGCTGCTCCTTGCCCCATGGCTCCCTTCACATTCCCTCTCCTGCTGCTTTCTAAAAGGGCCCAGCCTCCTTTAAAGCCTCTTCTTATTAGGTCAGGCCCTCTGTGATAATCTCTTTTGATTAACTCAAGGTCAGCTATTAGTAATCTAATCATAGAATGACATCCCATCATGTGTTCCTAAGTCCTTCCTGCCCTTCTGGGGAGAGAATTCTGCTTGGGATGTGACCCGGGGCCCATGGGGACATCCTGGGGCTGTGTTAGAATCCTGCTTGCCCCTTCCGGCAGAGGCTTTGCTTTCGGTTTCCATAAATGTGGGAAGCAGCGCTCAAGACAGCAGAGGAGCGGTAGCCAGGGCCAGATTCTCAGATACACTTCTCCAGCCAGAGCGCTGCTCCTCCCGCTTCCTTCATCCTCCAAGTGGGGTGACGTTAGGGCGGCTGTGCAGACACAAGAGACTGCCCGTGACCGACAGCCCATTTGTCATAAGCCTGGAGTTACTGAGCCAGATGTAAGACTGACTGTGTAACAAATAAACATCCTGTTTTTCATGACTCTGCTCCACTGTGTGACGATCTGTTGAACTCCAGGCACCGCCCTGGCGGTGCAGTGGTTATGTCTTCACCTTCCAATGCACAGAGTGCGGGTTTGATCCCTGGTCCAAGAGCTAAGACCCCACATGCCTCAGGGCCAAAACAGAAGACGGAAGCAGTATTGTAATACTTGCAATAAAGACCTTAAAAACGAAAGTGGTAGATGCTCAATTGTATCTGACTGTTTACAACCCATGGACTATAGCCCGTCAGGGTCCTCTGTCCATGTAACTTTTCAGGTAAGAATCCTGGGGTGGGTACCTGTTCCCTTCTCCAGGGCATCTTCCCAACCCAGGGATCGAACGTGAGTCTCCTGCATTGCAGGCAGATTCTTTACCGTCTGAGCTACCAGGGATCAAAACATCTCTAAAAAAGAGAAAAAAACCTGTTCAACTCCAGTTTCTGTGAATATGATTGAAGCTACAGAGCTTGACTCAGTGGCAGCTCCCCTTCTTTTCGAAAATTCATTTAAAAGGGGGAAGTCTAAACCTTTTATCTCTCTGTGCGTTTTTTTAGAGTTTGGTAAAGATGATATCTAAAGTTTTTGTGGTTACACAACATGTTAATTTCACTCCCTTGGACATAGACTCATGAGATAAAGAGATGTGGGGACTAGACTGCAGCAAACGTGACTTCACAGCTGGTTGGGCACCCAAGGGGCGAATGCCCAGGGCATCTTGGTGGGGTCTTCTGGAACATCGCCCATCTACCCTTCTGCTTTCCCCGGTTTGGGGCAGTGCTGTCATTTGTCTTCCTCAACGATGGATGGAGAAACTGGCACTTATTCCTTCAGCAGAGCCCTTAGAATCCCTCACTGCATCTCTTCCCTGTCCTGGCGCTGCTCCCCTCCGGCCTGTATCCATCCCACCACCTTTCCTGTGGCCTCTGGAGGCCATGTGCCCTGTTTTCTAGTCAAGGCTTGCCTTCCCACCTGGGCCTTTGCCTCTGCTCCTTTCTTGCTTCTTTTCTCAGCCTTTTACTTTCCACTCTTGTCGCTTCTCTCCTGTTTCTTCAACCATTGCCTCCCCACTGGGTTCTGGAGGCGAATTTCTGTTTGCCTCTTGGTTTGCTTAGAACTGTTTTAGGAATCTCTCTTGCCCTGTCAGGGAGCTGTTCTCCATTTTTTTTCTTCTGCTTTTTAAGGATGACATGTGTCCCAGTAGTCGTGCCCTGTTTAAGGATGACTTGTGTACCAGTAGGTGCGCTCTGGTTTTCATGTCTTGGTTCTGCCTCTTTTGTATGGCTTGCTGTTTTTAACTCTCACTTTGGAGGCTTCTTTAGAGTCCCCGAGACACAGAGGAACTTGCATGCTCTTCACTTACTTGGCTCAGCTCAGCTCAAGGGTCTGTTCCTCCTCCGTCCTTGGTGCACGGGATCGTGTGGTCTTGGCTCCCTCGTGACGGCCCTGGCCTGCAGGCTGCGGACCCAGGGGAGAGCTCCGGCTGGCCTCCTTGATACTGCCGGCGGCGGCAGCTGAACCGGCCCATCACGCCGTCTCCTGCTCCATCCTTCTCAGTGCTTCACCTGGCAAATCGCTTTTCCGTATCACTCCCCACTTCTGTTCCAAATTATCCCTTATAGGAATAACCCCGAACCTTCACATACTTGAAGTTTTTGAAGTTGAAGAAAAGGTCCCTGAAATACACCTCCTCCTGCCAGAATTCTCTGTGAAATGAGGGCTTCCCTGCCTGTCCGAATGTCCCCGCTTTTTGGGCAAAACCCATCTCCCACGAGACCTGGTTTTTGTGAGGGTTAGAAGCTGCTTTTGCAAAGTCTAAGGAGAAAGAAGTGTGTGTGTCTGAGGAATTTCCCTGACTTTGGAGTAAAGATAAACCGCGTCGTCGGCAGCATCGTTGTTCCAACACTGGCCAAATTGTTAGTGTCTTTTTACTCTGTTTTCACAAAGGAAACAGGAGGAGCGAGTGCAGCAGGTACGTAAGAAATTGGAAGAGGCGCTGATGGCAGACATCCTGTCCCGGGCTGCTGACGCGGAGGCGATGGGCCTCGAGATGGACAGTGGAGATGACGCCTAAGATTGGCATCAGGTAAAGCAACGCCGGGACGCGTGGAAACTCGGGGCTTTTCTTTGCTGGCTCCTGCCCTTGCAGCGGTCGGCGGCGCCTACAAAGCCTTCTCCACTGCGTATCTTGTGCGCGTGCTGTTGTTGGGCCCCCTTTGTATTTAAGGACCATATACGTGTGCATCCTTTTGTTCTCATGATGTGAAAATGTTCACACCCCTGCGGCCACTCGCGAGGGATTTGGGCTCCAAGGTGTCACTGGAGCAAAGCAGAGGAGGAAGGAAAGGACTCTGCCAGGGAGAGAGGCGTTGCAGGAGACAGGGCAGCCGTCGCCTCCGCCACGGTTGCTTTCTGGGGTAAAGGGGTCTGTTGTCACCTATGTAAAATTATGGTCACAGAGTAGGCGTGACCCCTCCCTCTCCTCTCCTTTTCTGATCTCTCTAGCACAGGCGTGATGCAGGGAGACCAAGCTAGGCTGCTGTAGTCTAGAGGTGATGCTGGCTTCATGAGGGTCTTGGTATCATGGATGCAGAGAAAAATGGAAAAGCCAATCTGAGATGTATTTGGAGGTAGAATCTATGTGACCGGGTGGATGACTGAGCCCAGGCTATTTACGGGAGCCCGCTGGGTGGGTGGGTGGGTGGGTGGGGAGGGGACTGTTCGGTACGGGAGCAGACTGGAGGTGGTGCACGCCGGGAGGAGGAACTCATTGTTTACGCGGTCTTTCCTTCCCATCAGTGCTTTTGTCTTAATTCAGAGTGGCTTATGCCACAGTGACCCAGAAATCAGGTAGTAGTTACAACTTTTTACATTAACATCGTCAGTGGCAGCAGCTACCTTTGACCACACAGTTTCCTGACTGTGCAGAACCATTTAAATCCAGTTTGGTGCTCTTTTAAGTCGTTTTCTTTTGGTTTCCGTGTCGAGGATGGGAAGATGCTGTGTTGACGCTGAATCTTGTCTGCTCTTCCAGTAGGGGTGTGTTTTCTGGACTGTGATGAGCACACTTCATATGTGTAAAGTCTCTCAGGGGGAAGTCTGAAGTGTATTTTTTTGGTCCAAAGACTTCAGCACAGTGCAGAAATGTGGGCCGCCATGCCTGCACCATATGAGAACTGACTCCAGGAAAGCCCTCTCCTTCAGAGCGTTTAATTGTTTTCCAGACTTCCCCCTGAGAACAATGTAGGAAAAACCAAGGGTTGTGTCGTTGAGGTTTTACTGGACCCTTGTCTACTTTGCAGGTTACTTTGCAGGTTGACGTCAAGGCAGCCCCCTGGGTCATGTGAGCGACCATGTGTTTGGGGACTAGGCACTTGGCTCACATAAAGGCCGGCATCGCTCATCGCCCGGCCCAAAGGCGTAGATGTGGAAACCAACTAATTAGCGTTGAGTGATTAGTGTTAACATATATTTAAAAAGTAGCCAACACTTCGGCATGTTGGGTAGGGAGAAATTGGTATTATATATATCATATTCTAAACTTGAGAATGGCATTATTAGGCCAGGCCATTAGACTTTTGGGTTATAGAAGATTTAGAAGTACATCTTAACTATCAAGACTAAATTTACCTAAATCATTAATTTAGCCCCACGTACACCTAGAGTGTTTAATAAACCAGAGCACTGCCACATGACTTAACTAGGGGTTCATAATAAGCTGAAGAATAGGTAGGACTTAGCTTGACTAAAGGTGGGGCATGGCCAAATTCAAATGCCTGGTAACATGCAGGACTCTGAACCACGCAGTTCTGTTTAGGTATGTTCATTGCATTATGACAGGGCTGGTCTTTCTAATGGTCCTTATTAGCAGTGTGGACCTTTATTTATTTTGTACACACATACAAATCCAAGTTAAGCAGTAATAAGACTTTTTACTCTGTTTCTATCATGTATAAATTATCTGAAGTAAAATAAATTATGGTGAAATAAAATAAATCATTGTTAGTAGAAATCTTCCTAAATTTTCTCAATATGTTTGGATTTGGCTGTATCGGTGATTTTTTTTTTTTTCATGTGTATGCCCTGTGAGTTCCTGTTTTATGCTGACTGACTTGGATGGAAAACCTTTTCATAAGCATACAAAGGGGCACATATGATTACTTTGAAAATGAAGTGAAGATTCTTTCAGAATTAAAGAAGTTGAAACAATGGGGGGAAATGTTGAGTCCTTTTTATGTGCAAAGTGCTGTAACTAAATGCTATCAAGGCTTTAAAAATCCTATTCTATGTGAAATTTGGTCTCTCACTGCTTTTCCAAGTTTTGCTGACCTCACCTGAGAAATCACTGAATTACTTGAGTGTGTTTGTTTTCTTGCAGGTAACTTTCGACCGACTTTCCCCGAGAGCAAACTCCTAGAATTGAGCAAAAACGTTTCCACTGGGTTTTGCCTGTTAAGAAAAAAAATGTACCTGAGCACATAGAGCTTTTTAATAGCACTAACCAATGCCTTTTTAGATGTATTTTTGATGTATATATCTATTATTCAAAAATGATGTTTATTTTGAGTCCCAGGACTTAAAATTAGTCTTTTTGTAATATCAAGCAGGACCCTTAAAATGAAGCTGAGCTTGTGATGCCAGGTGCAATCTACTGGAAATGTAGCACTTCCATGAAATACTTGTCCCCCCCCCCAATTTTAATATGAACAGATCAGGAGTACCAAATAAATTTCCCAATGAGCGCTTCTTGTGACTTCACTGTATATAAACAGATTTTTATACTTTATTGAAAGAGGACACCTGTACATTCTTCCATCATCACTGTAAAGACAAATAAATGATTATATTCACAGACTGATTGGAATTCTTTCTGTTAAGGAGCACACACCATGCATAGTCCCTTAGAATTTCTGATTCACATTCAGCTGTCTTCCCTGGGCCTCAGGTTTGAAATGAAGGTGGTGGGAAATAGTTCATACATTTGCAATATGCCTCTGGATATCATGAGAATTGTGCTCAGAATTCTGTGTTGTCATGTAGTGTGGGTAATTTTTATTTTCCCTTGCCTGTAATGAGTACTTTTATTACTTCTATAAAAATAAGGCATTTTCTTCCCTCGGGCATGAGTTAGGTACACACGTGCCCTTCAGATGTTACTGGAAGTCCGAGACTGTTTTTTGAGAACATTTTGTATTTTCCAATGTCTGTTGGCTTACAGAGTTAACAGGTGCAGGTGAGACCCTTTGCCACAGAGAGAGGCAGCATTCTGGGCAGACTTGCTAAATGAACCAGATTGTAATGCTTTGCTAATTACTACCCAGCCTCCAGAGTCTTAACATTTTTTTTTTCCTGTTGAAACTCACAAGCATTAACTTCATTACTTCTTAAATTCCTTGATATCTAATTGCTCAAACTGGCACAGCATTAAGAAATGAGTTTTAAAAAGCAAAACAAGGTAATCTGATGCCAGGAAATGGAACTAAGCAAATTTAAGTACATTTTGAGAAAACGAGCAAAAATAATATCTTTCTATAGGAAGGGCTTATGCACTTCTTAACTCTGAGTTGTTTTAAAATTAGATGCAAAATGATGTGATCAAGGATGTGACCAATCCTCTATAAATGTCACCTGTGTGTATTTTATTTATTTATATATATATATGTATTTTTTAAGTTAGTATCTCCAGCACCCTTCCAGTTCCTGAGGAAAGAAAAGAAAATAGTGAAAGCAATGTGACTCGCTAGGTTTGAACTGCTGTCTCTCTGGACCTTATGCCAAACTGCATAGGTGACACCTTCTTGGAATTCCTGATTTGCATTCAACTTTGCTCTTTGGGCCTGAGGCCACCAGTTTCCTCAGAGTAATTCTCCTGGCAAATAAGCAGAGATACTGGTAGACTCTGGGAAGACAAGGGGCAGAGGCTCCCTGCCCTAAGCCCTTCCGACTGTCCCCAGTTGGGGTGACAGTGGGAAGTGAGTATTGATTCTTTTTAAAAGCTGTCATGACTAGTTAGACTGAATGCCTGAAGGCTTTTCTTAAGAGTCCTCTAGAAGTCCACGAGTCTTCATTTGTCATCAAACTTGGGGTGACTTCATCTTGGCTATCATACGTTCATCTCACAAAGCAGTCCCACCAAGACCTACATGCTTGTATGAGCAACTTTTGTATTCAAGGGAAAAACACAGTGTACCCACATAAAAAATTTTTGTTATTCTGTACTTTGCTCAGGTAGAGAACAAGGTTTGAAAGCCATTCCAGGGTGTCCAGCTGAGAACCCTAAGTCCAGGTGTTTGCAGTGCACCCCCAGGACATGTCCAAAATTCACCATCTCATCCCCCCAACCTTCCACCATCTTGCATTCCCTAACTCAGGGGATAGCAGATCATCTGATCCAGCTGCCCAAGGCAGACACCTAGGAGTGATCCCAGAGGCCACTCTTGTCCTTGCAGCCAACATCCCATCAATCCTGTTGGCATTATTAGCCACATTTCTCACATCTATTTATCAAAAAATAGATTATCAGATGTCAACCCGCATCTTCTCCATTTCCACAGCCACCGCCTTCATGCAACCTCTTTTCCTCTCCTCTGCACTCTGCACCTTTTGTTTTTCACCTGCCCCCTTTCCCTCCTCCATGGAGTCATCAGTGATGGTCCTGGAAGCATCTGTGATCTCACAATTTCCCTGCTCAAAATTCCTCCCTTGTCTTGTGTACGTGGTTTAGAGCCCCGCTTAGTGAGAGTGAGCACTTGGAAATGGAGAGCACCTGTGTTTGGACCCTACTTTGGCCATTTGTGTGACTTGTCAGGTTTACCCAGTGTCTGTGAGCCTGTTCCTCCTCAGTGAAATAGTAATAATACCTACCTCATAGAGTCTCCGTGAGGACTAAACGAGATGCTGTTTGTCACGTGTTAGCACAGTACCTGGTGTGTCGTGACGGGCTCTGCAGGTGTCATTTTATGTCACTTCCAAGAGGCATTTGCTGATAACCCTAACTACCCTCCACTTTAAAAATAACCCCAATACTCTTTATTTTCCGCCTTGGCACTCTGTTCATTTCCTTTGTAGAAATCTTCTAAATCTGTATTTTATTTATTTGTTGACTTTTTTTGTCTGTCTGTCTACTAGAATGTAAGCTCTTTGAGAGCCAGGGTGTGTCTGCCTTTTTCCCTGTTACAATCCCAGCGTTTAGCCTAGTGCCTGGCACGCAGTATGCACTCAGTACGGGTGCGTGGAATAGACGGACGATTGATCGAAAGGCTCTTCAGGATCTGATAGCCACCTGCTTGTCTAGCTCATCCTGCCACTGTCCCCACCGCACCTTCAGCTCAAGGACACTGCATCACCTGCTCCTTCGAAGCGCCGCTCGCGCCTCTGTCTCTGCCCCTGTTGTCCCCTCTGCCTGCTGCCCGCACAGCCGGTTCTCGAGCACTGGTCCAGTCGCAGCTCATTGTCTACCTCCTCTGTGAAGCTGTCCTTCATCCCCTCCAGGCAGATGAGCTTTTTCTCTCTTCCAGATTCCTACTGCACTTTGTAAATACCTCACAGAAGCACTTTATTGTATTGTACATTTGTTTGCATGTCTGTTTCTACTTTTAGACTGTAAGCACCATGAAAGCAGAAACTGCATCTGTCCATGCTTCTGTCCCCAGAGCCTAGCTCAGTGCCTGGCACGTAACAGCTTGTCAGTAAATACTTGTTGAATGAATCTATGAACACCGAGTCTTGCAGTTGGAAGTCCTGCAAGACATCTGTGTTACCACGGAAAGGAATGCCCCTGCTGGCTTCCGGAGTAGTGTTTTTTTTTTTTTTGTCCTAGAGAGGAGATCGAGAAAGCATTATGTAATCTCTTTGAATATAAGATGACTTGTTTGAATTTCTGAAGTAAGTTGAACTATGTAGAGCTTCGTAAGTGATTGCGAAAGATGTCAAAAAGCTTTGTGATCCCTCAAATGCTACAAAGTCCAAAATAAATATTTGCACTATTAGTATTTCCATAGTCAATGCTATGCGAAAATGTACAGCAATAAATTTCAAAGCTTTAAAAATGTTTGTGTAAGTCATCTTCAGTGACTTAATCTGTGGAGGAATCTCGGGCCTGTGTTTCCCGGACACGGGGCGGGCCTGCGGACTGGGGTTAGGGCCCCAAAGTTTTCAAGCTTATCCAGTGACGCTGCTTGCCGTTGTTACTGCGGTGCTGGCTCAGCATTCGGCCGGGGTGTCTAGCGAGCAGAAAGAGCCGGAAGGGCTCTCAGAATCAGGTGGTGGCCACGCCGGACCTTGCAAGGCCATAGCCTCCGGTCCTCCACTGGGACGGTCACAGCTCCCTTGCCCTGCCCGCCTTCACGGCTGGGACGCATGTGACCCCAGTGTGAAATCTGCTTCACTGGCTCCCACCACTTACAGAGGTGGAGCCGTCACATCCATCAGAACGGGATTAGCTGTGGGGTTGTGAATTACAGCTATAGCTTGTCACACCTGCCTGTCTGAAAGGTCTGGGGTGGGCTTTATTTTTTTTAAGAAGGTTTGTTTGTTTTTTTCTATTTCTTTTTTTATTTGGCTGTCCTGGGTCTTCTCTGCTTTGTGTGGGCTTTCTCTAGCTGCGGTGACCAGAGCTACTCTGCATTGCGGTGCTCAGCCTTCTCACTGCAGGGACTCCCCTCGTTGCAGGGCACAGGCTCTGGGGTGCCTGGCCTTCAGGAGTTGTGGCACGTGGGCTCAGCTGCCCTGAGGCTGGTGGAATCCTCCAGGGCCAGGGATCGAACCCATGTCCCCTGCATTGGCAGGCAGACATTCCATCGCTGGACCCACCAGGGAAGTCCCTGGGGTGGCCTTGAAAATTTCAAGTTGCATACTGATTTTTCCAGGAGGGCCGATGTAAGTGAAAAAGTGAAAGTGAAAGTGTTAGTTGCTCTGTGTCTGACTGCAAATCCCATGGACTGGAGCCCGCCAGGCTCCTCTGTCCCTGGGATTCTCCAGGCATGAATACTGGAGTGGGTAGTAATTTCCTTCTCCAGGGGATCTTCCTGACCCGGAGACTGAACCCAGGCCTCCTGCATTGCAGGCAGATTCTTTCCCATCTGAGCCATTCCAGAAGAGTCCATGTAAGTGACTCAGTTAATTATTTGGCTTTGGTTTTTATGGCAGGAGGACACAAGTTTTTGTTTCCTCTCATTTATAGAGCAGTTTATGATGTTCAGAACAGGTTTACCTCCATTAATGTCATGTTTGACTTGCAAACCACAAATAAACCGCATCATATATATACACATGTTACTATCCCCAGTTTAAGAGTCGAGGAGTCTTAAGAAGCAGACGGGTTAAACGACTTACTCAAGCCGGTAAGGTGCTGAGAAGGAGCAGCTGAAGAAAGATCTGCTTTTAGAATGCCACGCAACCTTTCAACGCTCTTCCCCACTCATGTCCGAAGGTGCCTTTCTGTCTGTGACAGAGAACAGAACAGTCTGGTTTATCAAGTACAGCACGACTGTGGCCTGAAAACTTATTCAGGGCAGAGTGGCTCTTCATGGGAAGCTTGGTTCTTTTTACACTGAATAGTCAAAACTTTTCCATTGAATTCTGCTGAAAAATCTTCCCTGTTACGATTGTCTGTAAGAGGTGGAAAGAGCGCAGCTTCTCGGTCTCACAATGTTGGGAGTTATTTTTATCTGAGGGGATTAGCATTTCCCTTCTGCTGTAGTTGAGTGTTTTGCTTCATGAGCTTGCTGCTGTGAGAAGTCTGGCATCGAGATGCAACTGGACTGCAGGGCCTGGGGAAGGGGCTGCAGAGTGGGGCGCCTGCATCTAGGGCTTGTGTATAAGCATTCACTGGGGGTGGGAATGTTACCGAACCGACGTTCACACCCATGGACAGTAAAGCTGATCTATTGACACTGGGTTGTGGTGAAGCAAAGTGCAGCGTTTATTGCAGGCGCCAAGCAAGGTGTCCAGGAGAGTTAGTGTTCAAAACACCCAAACGCCTCATGGGTTTCAGCAAAGCATTTTCAAAGGCAACGTCCCAGGGTGCGTGATCAGCTTCTGCACAGTTCTCTGACTGGTTGGCGGTGAGCTGTTAAGGCAGTCCTGTTATGGACTGTCACGGGTTAGCATTACCAGTCCTCAGGCTCTGGTAGATCTGGGCTCTCTATGCTCATGATCATTAAGTAGTTAGTTCCTTCCACTTGGCGGTGGTTTTAGCATCTGAAAAACTCAGGAAACATGCACCAGATACTACCGCAGAGGATGTGGCGGAGGGGGTCTTTTCCAGGAAGGTTCCATAGGGTCCTGCACCGTTGTGGCCATCTGACCTTTTTGAGATTTTAATTTTTGAGTAATTAAAGACATAACATATTATCAGAATATAGACATGAGTTTGAGCAAGCTCCGGGAGTTGGTGATGGACAGGGAAGCCTGGCGTGCTGCAGTCCATGTGGTCACAAAGAGTCGGACACGACTGAGCAACTGAACTGAATATTATCAGAGTAGAACATGTATACAATTTGTAAATAAACATCTATAAATTGAGAGCTTATGCTTTTTGTTTTTTAAAGGGCTTGAAACAGGAGGGAAGGGGGCAGGCCACAACCTCTAAAAGAATAACATATAGCCCTTGAGGATACCACATAAACTGGTTAGAACAAACTAGGTCCAAGATGACAAGATTTGACTTCCAGAGGACCTTGAACCTCATTATATGCTCATTGTAATACGTCAGCATCTAAATGACACACCCACTGCGCCGTGATAGTTCTGAGGCTGATCATAAAAGGCCAAAAAAAGTGGACACTGGCCTAATTCCTGAAAATCCCTGCCCCTTATCCGAAATAGTTGGAATAATCCTCCTGCTTACTAGCCTGCGAAATGACCCAGCTCAGAACTAACTAGCCCACATTCTGGGAACTCCCGCCTTCTGAGATGGCCCACACTCTGTCTGTGGAGTGTGTTTCTCCCAAGGCCATGCTCACCTGTTGAGGCAAACTGCATTGTCTATGGAATGTGGATCTCTCTAAAAATTCTACTTCTTACCTATCACTTTGTCTCTCACTGAATTCTTTCTGCCATGAGACTTAAAGAACCTGAGCTTAAGTCCTGAGATCAGGTGTTCTCATTCAGAAGACAGTGAGTTCAAATCCCAATCTGGGTTTGGCTGGGTTCGAGTCCCAGTGGGTTTGGGTCTTGGCCCATGTGTTCAAGTCCCAATCTGAGTTGCACGGTTTCAGCCTTATTATTGAAGGGTTTATTATTAAATTCTTATTAAAAGAGGTTTGAGACCAGTACTCCAGTTCAGGGCTCCTCATCTGGGGTTCCCTATCCCTGGAGACAAGGAGCCTGCCAATGTCTTGCCATCAAATACAAAGCTTTGTGACAATGTACTCTTCTTCTGGGCTAGTATCCACAGCTTCTGTAAAAAAGATTCTCAATAGGGAAATACATCTCACATGCCTGGTATATGGCCTGTATTTCATAGATGATAACCCCTTTCCTCAAAACACACCCTGGGGATTTTTTTTGAGATTAGACTCTGCTTTGGGGGGGAGTTATCTTGAATTTTGCTGACCGGACAGGTACCTCTTGAACCCAGAGAGAACCAAGGTGAGGACTTGTGTGTGTTGGCAGGGGAGGTTGGGGCCAGCTGTCGGTGCCTTATTGCTCACAGCATGACTTCTACCCAAGGGCCTTGGACTCAACAATAGTGACTTGTGTGAAAATAGAAACATTTGGAAA